TTGGAGTATGGAGGAAAAAAATGGAGGATTTTATCAGAGTTTTCAAGATATGATGTCGAGACCCAAAACAAAATAATTATAGCAACAGCTGAATTGCATAATTTCATTCGTCTCTCTTAAATTCCAGACTTTGATTTTGATGATGCTTTGCAAGGTGACACAATTCCACGAGAACAATTTGGTAATAGTGAAGAAGGTGGAGAAAATATTGAACCAAATGTTTTATAAAAAATGAAGGAACAACAGATGGAGCACATATGCATATGATACAGGAAGGAATCAAACAACTATTATGGATTAGATATCATTAGTGTATCAATAAATCTATCAATATATGTGTTTTTAGTTTATTAATATTTTTGGTTTTTAATTTTATTTTGTTGTTTTATACATTTATTATACATTAATATAATTTTATTTTCTCATCTATTTATTCATTTTATATATATTTTAATTATTTTATTTTTTCGCTATTCTGTAATTCCATAATTACCATTTGCATTATTACTTATTCTACTAGATTCAACTAATAACCATACAAAAATTCCGCCAGATTTTACATTCCGCCAAATTCCATACAATTATTAATGTATATTATTTTAAAGACAATCTAATGCAAATTTTTTTATAATTTATTACTTTTTATTTGAATGTATATCTTGAATGTTTCTGAATTTGTCAAGATTTCATATCCACGGTCAATTTTTGTTCCCCTTTACTAATGCAATGCTGAAATCCCAAATTTGAAAACTGGAAACCCTAATTGAATCACCACCTCCTCCACCATCGTCCCCTCCTCTGGACATCTCCTCGAGAAACCAATCTCAGGTAAGAGATTCTCTGCAATTTCTTATCCTTCTTTCTCTGTGATTCTTCCACTCTGTATAAGGTTCTGTGATTTAGGTTTCAAAAATATGCGGTTTATCATCGATGTCAGAGAGAGAATATAATTCAACTTATTCTCTCTCTTTCTCTGCGATTCTTCCACTCTGTATGAGACTCTGTTATTTTAGATTTCGAAAATCTATACCCTTTCTGTATGTTTCTCTGCGGTTCATCATTGATGTTAGGAGACAGAATAAAATGTGGGTTTTCGTTATGTGTGGTAATGATTGAGGTTCATCATTGATGTCTGAGAATGTGTCTTATGTTTATTGAGTCACGATTCTCTGTGGTTTTCATAGACTCATCTCTGTAACTGATATGCATAGACTCATCTTTGTAACTTCTTCTGACATTCTATGCGGTTTGTTAGTTACTCTATAAATGTGTGACTTTCTCTTCCGTTTTTGATTTCTCAAAATTGAATCTTGCTACTTACTGATGGTTTGCACTGGGAGTTTTTGATTGCTGATATTTTTGTTATGTTGCAGTCAAGGGAATCTTGGTTAACTCAAGGGAGGGTGAATGATTCAACACTAGTAAAGAATGTAAAAGCTAATTCTTCACTTCACATTCTCACTTTCTTGGTCGTTTGTTAGCTGGTTGCTTATTATCTTTTGGACGTTGAACTTTTATGCAGGAAACTAGCAAAGATAACAATAAAAAGAGGAAGAGAGAACTTATCTCTGTTGCTATTGATGAGGGAAACGAAGCAAAGGTTACACCATTGGCTTTGCTCTTTGAGAAGAAGCTACCGATTTGGAGGACATTTGAATCAATGGAAATATGTAAAATATTACCACAAAGTCCTCAGCTTAGCCCGTTGTGGGAGAGTAGAGAAGGTTCCCGTCAAATGTCTGCGGTTTACTCGAGGAAGTCAAAGATCTGCAACCTAAAGATCCCATAAGCTCACTAAATAGCCTGACTTGCGTCTCAGAAAATGGAAGAACTCAAAGGCGCAGAGAAAGTGAGCATTAAGGTTGAGAATGAATGCAGGATTCTCGAGCTGCAAAGGCTTAATGAGGAGGCGCAGAAAGATTGTTCAGCAGCTTGAAGATGTGGAGATTTAGTTTTAGACAACTGTGTCAGCTCTATGGTGAAACAGTCTGTTTCGTTAACAAAGAATTAGATTATGTGTAATTAAAAAGACTTTTGAAATGTTTCTTGTAGACTTTATTACGGTTCATGAATGATAATATAAATTATAATACAATTATAAACAAAACTGGTTGCCAAGACAAGTTTGACTGTACACTGTCTGTATCCTCCCAACAATCATACATCTTATCAAGTGCAGTCTCAAGTCATTATGTTTCTTCCTTACAGACTGAGTTCCTGGACAGAGCAACTAAATAAGATGCTTCCCACTGCATTTGATAAAGTCACACATTATTCATGCAACTTCTCTGAGAACTCAACTTCAACTTATCATAAAGACTTTCTACACAATTCTCCAGTTTAAACAGACCTTCACCAGGAACTTTTGACTCAGGACTAGCGACCTTTAAATTTGTCTCCCCGTCAACAAAACATGTGATACACCTGAGAAACTTCTTTTCAGCCACCATATACATTATATCTACAACTCGTGATGACAATTTCAGCTATCGAGACACTCTACAAAACCCTCCCAATATGCAGACTCCACCATACTTGCATCATCGTATCTATCTTCAGACTAAACCAGAAGAACTCCCCCTTTACCCATCAGCCACACTTTAAACCTGAAATTTTTACTTAACTTACTGCAAAGTGTTTCTCTTAGAGGATTCCTCCTGATGCTCATAAACAAAGTGATAAGTCAGAGAAATAATATAATTCTCTTCCTGCTATAATGCTATAATAACTCTCAGATATAGTATTGCCTTCTCTGTACATTCAGTTTCTGTGTATATAAACAAAGCTCTCCATCTCTATCTCTCAACAATAATTCCATATACCCAATACAAAGCATGAATACAACAACAACAAAATTCCCTTAAAATTGTAATCAACAAAATTTGTGTGTTCCCTCATCTATTATATCTTTATTATCGTGTGAATGAAGTTAAACCAGTTATATGAAGGAAACTGTAAACAATTTGAGATCTTATTATTAGAAATAATTACTTACAATGTTTTTAATGGTTCTTGTGAGAGTGACTTCTTCTATGAGGTTTTTGGAATTGTGAACAGATTGTCAACTGAAAAGGTTGTGGCAACATAGGTTCTGATCAGATCCTTGAAATGCTTTGGTCAGTGAAAGTTGGGTAACCCAGGCCTTCCTCCACTTGTACCAAACTCGACCGAACCAACCGGGTCAGTTAATAAACCGTAATGCCTCCACTCGGATTACAAGCATGCGTTACCAAGCTTGGCATTTAAAGTCCTATCTTCTCTTCTTTATATTTAACTCTTTTGATTTCGTTTAAACCGATGTGGGACTCGTAATTTTTCCATTGAAAAAGAGTATACACATAATTGAAAAGCTTTATGAGTCTTTCTATCTCAAAATCAATGATTCTAAATCACGGATTGGGAAATTCACAAATATATCAATCTTGTTCTTGAGGTGTCTGCGATACGTGAACCGTTTTATATGGAATACAAGAATATCTGGCAATTTTCACAAGTCTGGCTTTTTGTTCGCTTGTCTGTGTTCTTTGCATCCCGGACAAAACATGTGTTCAGAATGGTGAGATAAAATAGTCAAAACTTAAATCTTCAAATTAGTAGATACCACATGTCATGCGGTCCAAGAGGGTCTGTGTTGACGAAAGTGACAAAAGGAGTTCCAAAAAGCTTTCATGTCTCTGCCTCTTAACACTCGCCAGAGCAGCCCTGTAGTTATGATCCCTAAAGCTGAGTTCGAAGAGGAAAAACAAAGAGTAACAAATAAATCAAGCATACTTTCATCATCTTTGCTTTTCCTGATCCTTTCTGCATATTATTCAACCGATACGCCACAATATGCTCATCATCTATAATCAGACTCAGTGACTCCACAAGATTCTCAAAATATCTAAAGATCATATACCTAAGAGGAGAATGCCACAGACTAGTCAGAGAATTCAGGAAAAAGAAAAATATTAAACTAAGAAAGGAACAAGCCAAAAGTCAAAGTGAATGTTGTTACCGAACCTAGAGAGATTGAAGTTGAGAATCAAAAATTCGTGTAATCAAAACAAAAAAAGACGAATCAACTTTTCCGGGCAAATTACACAGCGGCAAGGAACGAAACTGATGATTGTGATTGTGAAAATAAAAAACTTTCGGTGTATAGATTTTACAGGGAGAATATCCAATATGCAGAAAAGAAGAAACAACATTGAGACTCAAAAGTCTGAAACTATGATTGGTAAAGATGATCAGAGGAGAGGGAAATACGCTTATTGGGCTTGGGTGTCTTCCGAGTTTGATAAAGAAAACGAAGCCCAATTCCATTTAGTTATATTATTTACGATTATACCATTTTCCGTATTAGCAGTTGGCCTGCGAGTTGCGCGGATTAATTCGTTATTTAAATGTTTTTTTGTAAATATTTTTTATTCAATATATTAATTTTACATTATATTTCATATTTGGTTATTTAACACTTATATATTATTGTTAATTTTTAAAACAATTTTTATAATTCTCTTCTCCATTATAATTTTAAATTACTAATATTTATCATTTGGAATAAAAAATATAACAATAGGATCCAGTACCAAAATTAATTTACAATATAATTTTTGAAATTACAATACTTTTATATAATTAAAATTTAAATAATTAGTAACCACAGAACTTATATTTTTTTATTCTGTTTAATTATGAATCACTATTATTAAATTAATATATTTAATTTTTGGAATTTAAGCAACAAAGTAAAACGTTTTTTGAAAGTTAAATATTTACAATTTCTAAATGTATAAATACCATTATTTTTCAATAAAATGGGAAATTCAGAATTGGGTTATTTTTAATTATGAACCGGGATTGATAAATGAAATGGGCTGATGGAAATGTGATCCTAAAAACATTTATTGGGGTGTTTCATTTTTCGAAAGCCCATTAAATAATTGACCTTGCGTTTCAATAATTTTGCTCTTGATATCTACTTATCTATTTATTGTTTTTAAATTATAATAATATGCCAGAAATTGCCATTCCCCTCTTCGTATAGCCGATCTCTATATGTGTATTGAGTTCCCTGCTGACATTGGTGTCGGAGATTATGCCGGAGGTCATGTGTGACAGCAATATTCGGTTACATTATGATTTTCGAGGATGTTAAATAGATGATTCCACTTTCGTGGGTTTGACGATTTGTTTGTTCGTTCCCTTTTGGTATTTCCTCTGGGGACGTTGGTGGTGTTCTATTGCTCTTCATTTCCTGTAAGTTTGATTTTGAAATTCAGTAATTTGAAGTGTTTATTTATTATATAGGTTTGCATTTGTTTAATATTTGAAAACCCAGTTTGCCAATGGATCTTGCTAGATTTGAGAGTAGAAATGATCTTTAAGTAATTGTAATTGGTTTTCAGTTCCGTTTATTTGCGGTCCTTTCCATCGTCTCAGGTGTTTCTGTTTCTGAGTAAATACTAATCAGATGTGCTGCATTGCCCGGGAATTGCCAGTTTTAATTTTCATGGGAGTGCTGATCTACCTTCGGACCACACATTTATTTCTCATACATTCATCTGTTTGTTGCGTAAGTTCTCTCACTCTTATCTTCTTTTATTGGTTTTCAAATGTAATTGTTTCCTAATTTCTTTACAAATTGAATTCCACCATCGTTCTACTCATCACCATAAAAGTATAGACAGAGTTGTAGGATTTGTTAAGCCCCTCTGCTCGCTTATATAATCACAATCTCTAAATGTGTTGTATTTTAATAAATATTGAAAACGACAGACTTTGAATGAAATGGGAATATACATGGTTGCTGCGATCCTCTGCCATAAAACTGTTTCGATGGCTTTGCCTGTGATTCTTTGTTTCTGATCCTTTCCTTGAATATGTCCCTTAACCTGCAGTGATGATGTCGTTTACATTTAGAAGTTGTGTATTTGTTTTTTCATGATTTAGCTGAAGAATACATTAATATGAATGTTCAAAATTAGATATACAACTCCTTTTGCAAAACAATTTCCTTCTCAATTTGGTCACTCGTATATACGTTATAGACTGTGTCTGTGTATTTGTCGTACCTGAAAGTCGTCACTCTGCTCTTCAAGTACATGTCCTTCCACAACTTGTTTGCAAATGTACCCACCGATAGCTGGATAAGAGCTGTGACTATTTGAATTAGTTGGAATGCATGTTAGAGTGTGAAATATGTTGTTTCTGGTTTGTTAATCAATGTTAATCCTATAAGAACACCTAATCTTACAGGTTCCTCAATGTCTTTGTATTTTGTTTTTTTAAACATATTTGTAATAGTAAATGAATGTAGTACATACCTTACTTTGTTCGTAGTCCATGAAAAGCTTCTTTGTTGACAATGTTTGAGACACCCTTTTTTATTTTTATTTTTGTTTCTCGAGGTGTCCAGGATTTTAAGTCCCTTTGAAGATGTCACCCGTGACAAAGCAACGTAGAGCTGACCGTGGCTGAACACTGGATTTGGCAAATATATTGCGACCCTATTTAAGGTTTGTCCTTGGCTTTTATATATAGTCATTGCATAGCACATACGCACTGGGAAATTGTCGCCTTTTTAAAGTAAATGGATGCCTTGAATCTTGAGGTGATAGTATAATCTTAGGGATTAACACTTTCTTCTTCTCTGATGTATCTGTAAGTATTTCCCCTTCGATTACTCTCTCTCCCAAGTGAGTTACAATCAGCCTTGTTCCGTTGCATAACCCCTCTTTTTGGTTGAGATTTCTTAATAGCATGACTGGGACACCAACTTTAAGACATAGACGAACTCTAATGCATTTAGATATTCCGTAGGATATGACATTTTATATCTTTCATCATCTAGATTTTCTATCAGAATGACAAATGTAGAATAACAACTACATATACCTATTTTCATTAATTAAAAAGATAGAATAAAGTTCTAGAATCTTAGAATCACAACCACTACGATTTCAACATCAAAAAAATTCTTCATGGCTTAGAGCAACTCCTTTTTTTTTTGGTCGAAGAGCAACTCCTTAATTCTTATATCTACCATTCTTTTCTTTTCTCTATATATGACACAAAAAATTTTTTGAAGGAAATTGCAAATAAAAACTATTTGGGCTTGTCGGCCCAAGAGAGCTCACCTTAAACGGCGGCCACCTGCTTCACCGCTGCTCACTGTTGTCCTTAAAACCTCAATAACGTCAAACTCTTTGTTACTGTATCTTCTCGGAAGATGTTTCGGATTTCAAAGATTCAACTCTGTTTCCCTCTCTCAACATTCATCAAGAGATTCTCCTCATTTCAAGCTACTAAATCGGTTATCGATAAAGCGGCAATCGATGGGGAGCTAAGAGTTTTCATCGTCTCCGGCGAAGTTTCCGGCGATAACATCGGCTCTCGTCTTATGGCTTCGCTCAAAAAGCTATCTCCTCTACCTCTCCGTTTCCATGGAGTTGGAGGGTAAACAATTGGGTTTTCCCAGATTAAGTATATTCATAGATTCTTTCAATTGAATTTTGGAAAAGTTTGTACCTTTGCTTCTAACAAATTGATGTTTTTATATGGTAAGATCATTGATGTCCAAGCAAGGATTGACTTCGTTGTTTCCTATGGAAGATTTGGCTGTAATGGGCGCGTGGGAGCTTTTGCCGCATTTGTATAAATTCCGTGTGAGTAATTTAGCCTCGAGATTGATGTTTAATCCACTCTAGATACTTTAATTTACTAGTCTAGTTTCTGAGATTCCAGATGAACTTAAAGGAGACCATTGATGCTGCATCTAAGTTTAAGCCACACGTTGTTGTGACTGTTGATTCAAAAGGCTTCTCTTTCCGTCTACTTAAGGAGTTACGAGGTAAATTCACAAACTTGTAAGAGAGAATCAATGCCTAGGAATAATTGAGCTTTAGTGAAGATGGTCCGTACCTTATTCTCAAATAAGAAACTTAATCTGTGAACTCTAATCTAGGAATGGGGAACCTTACAATGTAGAACTTACTGAATGAATATATCATGTAGGACAATGGAGGAATGCTTTTTGGCTTTGCAGGTAGATACAATCAGCAGCGCTTGGAGAATCGTCCTGTGCATTTTCACTACGTGGCACCGTCGTTCTGGGCCTGGCGAGGAGGAGAATCAAGGCTTGGAGGTCTCTCTGAGTTCGTTGATCATCTTTTCTGCATTCTCCCAAACGAGGAAAGTGTTTGTAAAGAACATGGTGTGGAAGCAACATTTGTTGGACATCCCGTTCTTGAAGATGCTTCTTACTTCAGCCTTGTATGCATTTCTTTCTTCTTCTTGGATTACTTCAGTTTCTATGAACACTCTCTCGGAATCCTTAGTGCAATGCCACTCTTTGTTGACGCAGGTGAGGACGTTCAAGCCTCAGGAATCGAATCTTGAAGGCTCGAGTTTTAGCAAATACTCATTACCTTCTGGTAATCATGTGATAGTTCTCATGATTATATTTGGTTGACTACTTTTCTTGATTTCTCATTGGTCTTGAACATTTCATGAATGAAGCAGACTCGACGGTCATTTCGATTTTACCCGGGAGCAGATTACAAGAAGTCGCAAGAATGCTACCAATATTTTCCAAAGCAATGAATCTACTCAAAGACTCGTTTCCGAAACTAGTAACGCTCATACACGTCGCATCTAATAGTCAAGTGGATCATTACATTGGAGAATCCCTCTGTGAATGGCCGGTTCCAGCCATTCTAGTCCCTAGTGGATCCACTCAGCTTAAATATGATACCTTTGCCGTAAGTCTCCAAAGCCTCTCTCTCTCTCACTCTCTCTCTCTTTCTCTCTCTCTCGGTGTCTCTTCAATCTTACTCCTCTCACTGTCCTGTTTTTCATACCAACAGGCGAGTCAGGCTGCGTTATGCACTTCAGGAACAGTCGCTGTTGAGTTGCAGCTTGCTCGTTTACCTTCCCTTGTCGCATACCGAGCACATTTTCTAACGGAGCTATTGATCCGTTACAAAGCCAAGATACCTTACATTTCTCTCCCAAACATTCTCCTGGACTCACCAATCATCCCTGAAGCCTTGTTCCAAGCCTGCAACCCTTCGAATCTCGCCTCGATACTCGAGTAACTATATTTTGTTTTGAATTTGCTATCTAGAAATGGAGATGATGATGATGAATGTGTGAAAATTTGTAGGAGACTTCTCTTGGATGAAAAGATGAGAGAAAATCAAGTTGTTGCTGCTGAAAAGTTGATACGCCTCTTGAATCCATCAGAAAGGGGAATGAGAAACTCGATTAGTTGCAGTGATTTTGAATATACACCAAGCAATTTAGCAGCTTCGACTATTCTAAGTTATGCCAAGCGTTGAAGCTTAATTGAGAAGAAAGATCCTTGCTTCCAACGCTAACGTTTGAGGTCATTACATTGTCATTGCTTGTTATTTCAGTAGGACCCTTCCTTGCTAAATATTTTCACCAGCTTATGTTGTTACTGTTGTCTTATCTTATTATAAAAATAATTATATGAATACATATGCTATGTGTGGATTTTGTAATCCATTTTTTATTATGAATTGTTTGTTTTTAGTACTTTGTTTTAAACCATTTTATTTTTCATTTTTCATTTTTTCATATATTAAAATATATAGAATCTAAATTATAACACAAATTTAAATTAAAGAAAATAATAATTACAATGATTTCAATTTGTTTTTACATAAATTCATAATAGATTGCATAAAATATGATTAAAAAATTTTACAACCAATATTGTAAAAGCAGAAATCTACATTAAGAAATTTATGTGTTTTTATAAGGAAAAAAACTTAGAAGAATTGAGAGCTAGATTCTCTCGAACAGATGACAATATAAGCTATCACTAACTGAAATAAGGACTTTGTATTAATCGATCGAATGAAACGGTTACAAGGATTTCGATGGAAGAGATGAAATGAAAAGAGCTCAAAGAACAGTTCTAGAGTTTTTAAATGTAAAGAGTGTGTGAAAAGATCAAGCCGAAGGTCCCCTAAACTAAGCCGCTATTCTTCTTTATATAGCTCGCCTTATCGAGCTTCGAACTCCAGCGCGTATCTCGGCCATGTGGAGTAGTTTCAGCATAAAATCTCGCCACATGCAGCAACCTCCTCCGCGATCTTCAGACTCGTTCAAACTGGCGAGAATATGCTCTGACTTGGCTCGAATCCTTCCTTGTTTCTCGGGATTGGGTTGAGCTAGGGCTCGACCTCGCCGAACGGAGCGTCTTGCTGCTCGGGATTGGATTGTTGAAAGGTGAATGGGCCTTGGCTGTAAGGTCAAAGCCCAGTCTATTTGGCTTAGTTTGGATCTGCCCGTTGGGCTTGAGTGGGCCGGATTTGGGATGTCAAATCCAGCTCTAACAATTGCCCCCCAGCCCATTAATGAGAGCGAGCTCGAGCTTTAATGGGTGACAAGATGGGACTTTTTGAAAGATTTTGTGTTGGATTATGCTGACGTCATGGAGTCAGATAATCATTCGGAATCGACGGCCGAGATCCAGGAAAGGCGAACAGTCTGTCGATCGTGTGGTCGAGGATCGACCTCGAGACCGTAACTTGGCGTGTTGAGACGAAATTGTTATTAATTCGTCCAGGTGGACAATCGAGATTCGAAGTAAATATTATCATTTACTTTTCTGTTTCGGCAGTCGAGCTTCCTGGGGCAAGGTGCATCCCTCGAGAAGGTTCGCAATAAAGCTTGCTGACGTGGATGGTCCAGATGGGGAGAGAGGAAGTCGATCTATTGGCCTCGATCGATCGAGCTGTGCAGCACGTCAAATCGTCGGAGTCGAATATTCGACGGTTGGAATAGGAGGATCGAATAGTTGAGATTGGTGCTTGGCCAGATTCTCTGCGAACTTCGAGGTTGATAATAATTACCTCGATATAAATCCACCTTCTCCACTCTTTTTTTAACCGCATCAGTTCGTCGATTAAAGGTAACCTCCTCTCTCTTTTTCCTTTTATTTTCTGCAACTTCCATTTCCCGTAGTTTTCAGAAATTGTTTGCTGAGTTTTCCTTTAGAAAAGCTTTGACCTTCATCTTTGACTTTTCTGGGTTTAGCGTTTGCTACTTTCATCCTCTTTTATTTTCCGATGTTGGCAATAGTGAAAGTTGAGGGGGAAAACTCCGGGAGGACCGCCATAGATCCTTCTAAGATCGACCAGAAAGCTCTTGACGACTTCTGTCAAGAATGCCAAATCCCCGACAGGGTGGAGTTGGCAATCCTGACGCCAGCGGAGACTCCAGCAAGCGTGGAGCCGGGCTTTTGTTGCGCGTATGCAACGTACTTCCGGGATGCGGGCTGTTCTTTCCAATCCCTCGGTTCGTTCTCAAGGTGTTGGCTGACCTGAGGCTGGCTTTCCTGCAGATGTGTCCGAATTTAGTTTGAGCCATCATCGGATGTGCCGTGCGGGCCAAAGAGGAGAACGTCATCTTTTGCTACTCGGATTTGAGAGCGTTTTTCTCCGTCAAGTACAACGCCCGCCGTCCCGGAAGTTTATGTATAACTTTTGGTTAAGTGTTTTCTTAACGCTTTAGATGCTCGATGTTCGCAGGCTGCGGAAGCTGGGAAACGGCTCTATGCTTGATTTGAGCAACGGCTGCGAGACATCCCTAGTCGAGAAGAGATCGAGGAGATGGGGAGGGTAGTCGGTAAGCTGAAGTCTGACCTTGAGGCCGCGAATGTGCAGGTCGCTTGCCAAACTACCCTCATCCAGCAGTTCAGAGGCCAGCAGGCCCATATCACCGATCTCGAGAACGAGCTGGTCGACAAAGACGAGAAGTTCAAGGTCGCCACCAACCAGATCTTCGAAGCTCAAGCTGAAGCGGTGCAAGCTCAACATGAGGCTGCGGTCTATAAGGAGGCGAATCTCCGTTTGGTCCACGAGCGCGAGAGTGATGTCTGCAAAGCTAACCGTGAGGTCCGAAAGGATATGTCTTGGAGGTTCATGGAGGTGATCGAGGGCTTCAAGCTGAAGTGAGAGAGGAAGAAGGTCGAGGGTGTGGCCGAGTGTGATCTCCAGGAGTGCGTTGCCAACAAGGAGATGCTCGAACAGCTTGTCGCAAAGGCCACCACCGTCGAAGAGGAGCTGGAGAGGGTGAAGAAAGACGAGGAGGACTTGGGAGTGGCCTTTCAAGGCTGCCCAAGTCTTAGACTTCTCGATCAGCAGGCTGAATCTCCCCGTGATCTCTGAGGGCTCGGTGGCTATGGACGTAGACCCGGTTTCAGACGCACCCGTTGGCCGTAATCAATTTGGTACAAACATAGAGGAAGGAGGTAGCAATGAAGCGAGGAGGAAGGATGACGGCGAGAAGGCGGGTGGTTAGCTTGACGGCTGACCGTGGCTCCTTTCTCTTTTCCTTCCTCTTTTTTAAATTTATTTTTCGAACTTGATTGCCCGGCGGGGCTTTTACGCTTATTTTGGTGCCCGGGAGGGCTTTAATCCTTTTTATTCTCGAACTCATCCGTGCCTGAAAGGGCTTTTGTGTAATACAATCGGGCTTTATGCCTTAGATTTTGTTTATCTTTTGTCTCTTGCATTTTTTGTTCGAGTAGGATATTTCGTTTAATAACTTAGGGAAGCGGACTACGATTGTCTAGCTCAAGGCTTAGGTCGCTAGTCATGAGTTTGATGCTCGAGCTGATAGCTTCGAGTTCATTGCTCGATTTATCGGGCTTAGATAAAACAATTAGGTCGCGGAGGGCGATCCGTTTATTGTGAGAAGCTAAGTTTTATAGCTCGATATTTCTTTAGTTTTTTAGGATATGGATCGAACTGTTTTGCGGTGAAGTTTTGGTGTACGAGGTGGAGTTCGCTTTCTTTTGAACTAGGCGTTTCTCAGTTTCGGTTTTGTGATGGAGAAGGGGGTTCGATTTTATTCTAAGTTTCCAATCATAGGGCTCAGTCATCCCTGGCGAACTACGGGCTGTGGTGGGCTCGTCGTCTCGAGGTCTGGAGCTCCGGCTATGGTTGGGATCGAATTGTAAATCTGGCCGCACCTGTGAAGTGGAGTAGGATCCCGAACTTAGTTGTTTTGCAAAATGGGAGGTGTGTACCTTGTGTTGTTTGGAAAGTCATCTAGGATAGGTGGCTTCCTCGGAAAATAAAAGAGGAAGAAATTGTTTGCTGAGTTTTCCTTTAGAAAAGCTTTGACCTTCATCTTTGACTTTTATGGGTTTAGCGTTTGCTACTTTCTTTCTCTTTTATTTTCCAATGTTGGCAATAGTGAAAGTTGAGGGGGAAAGCTCCGGGAGGACCGCCATAGGTCCTTCTAAGATCGACCAGAAAGCTCTTGACGACTTCTGTCAAGAATGTCAAATCCCCGACAGGGTGGAGTTGGCAATCCTGACGCCAGCGGAGACTCCAGCGAGCGTGGAGCCGGGCTTTTGTTGCGCGTATGCAACGTACTTCCGGGATTACGGGCTGTTCTTCCTAATCCCTCGGTTCGTTCTCAAGGTGTTGGCTGACCTGAGGCTGGCTTTCCTGCAGATGTGTCCGAACTTGGTTTGAGCCATCATCGGATGTGCCGTGCGGGCCAAAGAGGAGAACGTCATCTTTTGCTACTCGGATTTGAAAGCGTTTTTCTCCGTCAAGTACAACGCCCGCCGTCCCGGAAGTTTATGTATAACTTTTGGTTAAGTGTTTTCTTAACGCTTTAGATGCTCGATGTTCGCAGGCTGCGGAAGCTGGGAAACAGCTCTATGCTTGATTTGAGCAATGGCTGCGAGACGTCCCAAGTCGAGAAGAGATCGAGGAGATGGGGAGGGTAGTCGGTAAGCTGAAGTCCGACCTTGAGGCCGCGAATGTGCAGGTCGCTTGCCAGACTACCCTCATCCAGCAGTTCAGAGGCCAGCAGGCCCATATCACCGATCTCGAGAACGAGCTGGTCGACAAAGACGAGAAGTTCAAGGTCGCCACCAACCAGATCTTCGAAGCTCAAGCTGAAGCGGTGCAAGCTCAACATGAGGCTGCGGTCTATAAGGAGGCGACTCTCCGTTTGGTCCGCGAGCGCGAGAGTGATGTCCGCAAAGCTAACCGTGAGGTCCGGAAGGATATGTCTTGGAGGTTCATGGAGGTGATCGAGGGCTTCAAGCTGAAGTGAGAGAGGAAGAAGGTCGAGGGTGTGGCCGAGTGTGATCTCCAGGAGTGCTTTGCCAACAAGGAGATGCTCGAACAGCTTGTCGCAAAGGCCACCACCGTCGAAGAGGAGCTGGAGAGGGTGAAGAAAGACGAGGAGGACTTGGGAGTGGCCTTTCAAGGCTGCCCAGGTCTTAGACTTCTCGATTAGCAGGCTGAATCTCCCCGTGATCTCTGAGGGCTCGGTGGCTATGGACGTAGACCCGGTTTCAGACGCACCCGTTGGCCGTAATCAATTTGGTACAAACATAGAGGAAGGAGGTAGCAATGAAGCGAGGAGGAAGGATGACGGCGAGAAGGCGGGTGGTTAGCGCGACGGCTGACCGTGGCTCTTTTCTCTTTCCCTTCCTCTTTTTTAAATTTATTTTTCGAACTTGATTGCCTGGCGGAGCTTTTACGCTTATTTTGGTGCCCGGGAGGGCTTTAATCCTTTTTATTCTCGAACT